CTCTCACTACTCAGCAATCACCCATGATTGGGGCGCTTGACTGTTGCCATTTTTCACGGATTGGATGCCTCCGTGTCGTGGATTTCAATCCCCGTGGTCGCCACCCTCTCCCTCATTTGCTGTCTCTTTCCCTCTCTGTCTCGTTCCTCTTCACACTCTCACTGGTTGGCATGCCTTCACGGTTTCCTCTCTCTCTCCGCCATCTCTTCGCACTTCCCTTACCTCTCTTGAAAGTTGAAAGTCGCCATCAACGTAAAACTTCAGCATGCTCCCCTTGACCAGCACTGAACCGCAGCGCTTCACGAACAGGTACGACCCTTCACCATCTCCGCTGTAGTCTCCCGGTCCGTTGTTCTGAGACACTCGCTCGTTGCGTGCTCTGCGGTCGCTTGCCCACTGCGCCGCGTTTCCTCTGTTCGTCATACTCTTCAACCGGCCCATTCCAATCCCGAGTCGAAGGGCTTGTGTGGACTGCGTACGCCAGGCGCACAGTCCCGTTCGCTCCCACTCTCCCTCTCACACGCAGTCTCTCGCTCCCGATGTGCAGTCCCCTTCTCTCTCTCTCCCTCTCACACGCAGTCTCTCACTCCCGCAGTGCCTGCTACGTTCTCTCCCTCTCCCTCTCACACGCAGTCTCTCACTCCCGCTGTGCAGTTACGTTCTCTCCCTCTCCCTCTCACANTGTGCAGTTACGTTCTCTCCCTCTCCCTCTCACACGCAGTCTCTCACTCCCGCTGTGCCTGCTACGTGGGCGGGGGACGCCTTGCATGCTGCTCCCCTCCCCGTTGACCTGCCCGGATCCCACCATGTTGTGGGCCAGGTACACCTTGCATGCTCTCCCCGATCTCTCCTCTGTTCCCCCCTATATTCATTCCACATTTGCTTGAACTGCCAAGACCGTCGGTACCAGGCCCAACACAGGCTCATTACGGGTGGTACGTGAGCACCGTCCTCGGGTCAACAGCTGGGCGTCGTGGTACCAAACAGGGTATAGATGGCCGCAGTGATGGTGCCGAGCCTGAGTAAATTACCTGTGATAGCACCGAACCTGGAATAACCTGCCGTCCAGGTTCCTGGCCTAAGACAGACCACCGCCGCAGTGTCCAGACTTGAAAATAAATCATCCCGAAGCCGCAGAACCTGAAATAAGCCGCCGTGGCGGCGGCGTACCTGAAGTAAGTCGCCACAGTGTCCCCAATAAATTGTCTCAATGGCACCAAACCTGATGCATGCCACCGTGAGGGTGCCGAATCCGGATAATAGTCTGCCGCAGCGGTGCGGGAGCTGAAGAGAAATCACCGCCGAGCCTGAAAATAAATTACCACTAGGATCCCGAACCTGAAATACATCGTCATAGTGGCTCCAGACCTGAAGGTAAATCACCACAGAGGTCCCGAACTTGAAATAGATCATCACAGTGCTCCCGGACCTGAGAATAAATCACCATAGAGGTCCCGAACCTGAAATAGATCGTCACAGTGCTTCTGGACCTGAGAATAAATCACCACAAAGGTCCCGAACCTGAAATAGATCGTCACAGTG